ACATATGCCAGACTATTGCTATTTTCATAGGCGTCCCTGGCTTTCTGCTGGCAGATTCTCCCCCCTTAAAGTTCATTCTGGAAAAGTCTATTATGCTATACTATTGCTATTTTCGAGGCTATTCAATTACTCTTCGTGCTTATTCTAGCCAAGGACCAAAGTCGAATAGTTAAAGGTGTGCACATTCACTTAAATTGAATATTTTGCTATTTACAAAACTCAATTCAATTTTGAATGATTGAACAATTTAATCTGAGTTTAGTTTCACTTGGGGTGAATAACTTGATTTCATTTTGATTTGAATTGATTGATAACTCAATTTTAGTTGAATGGTAGAAAGGTCTACACTGGCTTGAGTTTGATGAGTTTAGTTTAAATTTTTTAATGTGTGTTGTTTGCTTCTCAGCTAGGGTTATAAATAGCAGCTCGCGGATGTTTGTCCAAGAAGTGCTCTGTATGCTTCCTAGCTTGGGTTAGTAGGAATAATACTCAATTTGAGTTGAACCGTCGTTGCCTTCTTAGCGCCGGAAGTGGTGTTTTCTCTAGAATCTTTGGATCGTTTGCACATTGAAATTCAACATATGTTCTGCTTCTACACTGTTTGGAGCACCCCTATATGACTTACAGTTAGCATGTTCAAGTAATCGTCTTCCGCTTTCCTTTTTCTCCTTGAAATTCACACTTATTGTTTTTGTTTATTTTTGTCAAATTGGATTCAGGAAATTAGATGGCAGTGGTCTTTGATGCATTAGTTTGAGAATGTGCAGAGCATCGGTGGCTTCTTTTCGGTACATGCATCCATGGAAAACCTTGAGTAGTGCAGAAAACTATCTGATTGTGTTCAACCTCCCCAATATTTTCTTCACTCCCATGATTATAAAGGTACTTTGTTCTTATAGATGATTGTAAGATCTTGAATTAACAATTTATATGAATGATACTAAAAAACAAACCTTTATGAATGAATGTCCTAATGTAATTATTCATTCTGACTGTAGGCTTTTTTTGTTCAATTAAACTCCACATGGACTCTAGAGATAAGGTACTAAACTAAGTTGGAGTCTACACTTTTAACAATTTTCTTTTAAAAGTTTAGTTTATCATAATTTGTTGTTCTGTGAGCAGAAACTAATGGAGTTCTGATACTCAAACCTAGAACGTATCAACATTTCGGGATTTGTAAGAATTTGGTGGGAAAAAGGAAAAACCAACAGAGGTAATTTTTATTGTTTGCTTTTATTATAGGTGGTTTGCTATCTCTACACCCTATCTACCGTGTTGTCTCCAACAACACGGTATCGTGCTGTTGGAGACAACAAGTTATGCTATAGCTTTATGCATTTCATCCACAAAGTATATAATGATCCCCGTTATGATTGAAAGAAAAATTATTGACAGATACGATTTTATCATGATTCATGATTGAAAATTATTGAAGATATTTTGAGTATTTTTGGCTTTGACCGGGAAGATGGCTCTGACTGGGAAGATGTAGTTATCTAAACCTTTAATAGTTACAATATTTTACAGACATTTTTATTTGTGGTTTGTTTTAATGATTTTTCTATGTTTCCCTTTCAGAACTTCAACCGGGTACAACTCTCTTTTACATGATTTATAACATTACTGATAACAATAGAAGGTACTACAGTTCATTTGCGCACTGCAAAAGGGTAATAGAGGGTAGCTGTGTTGAGGTAATCACACTGACTCAAGTAAAATGACACATTTAAGTTTTGAGATGTTCAAACAGAATATTCTTTACTTCAAACAGTAAATTTCATATTTGGATTTATTTATTCAGGTTTTTTCTATGTGAATATCACTCGGAGCATGGGCAAATCGTAGGAAGAATGAGAAGCGTTAATTTTGCCTAAACGATATGCTGCTATTTGTTTGCAATTAAGAGCGACAGAAATAAGGAAGTTGTTTACCACGTTACGGTTGATTAGTTTTGAGTAGATTGTGGTACGAACCAATGCTCCAAATAGATTATTGAGCATATTATCATAAGGTTTTGAATAGTTATGGTTAAATATATAAATTTTATTTCACTAATCCACTCAAAACTTTTTACTTATAAATAAATTAAATATGTTTTAGAATAATTATGAATAAATGTATTAGTAAAATATACATTTTATTTTGGAAATCAAAATTAATGCGGCAGTGTGGGATAGAAGAATCATATTCTTTGAATCATAAGGTCGGTAATCTAATTTTTTTAATTAATGCAAAGAAGAATAATCAAATGGTCATTATTATTATTTTCAAATAATCTAGGAAATGAGAAATCATATTTTTTTTACCAAAATGGGTTTATAACATTATACAAAGATGTATACCTCAAAATTTTTTCAAAATGTTTTAATTTAAATAGGACTTTGACATGTTATTTTATATATATATATATATATATATATATATAGTAGAATTCTTTTAGAAAATATTATATATTGTATCATTATTTTAACTTTTAAGGTCAATTTTTTTAATATATCAAAGAAATTAAAAATTATAAAATCGATACAAAAAATCTGTTCGACCCGTGCGTGGCACGGGTCAAAGTACTAGTACCAAAAAAGTATGAGATGAAACACATATTGTTATTATTGAGATTAGTGGGGACTACAATACTGCACCATTATCAAATAATTTGTGGCAATTAATTTTTGTGGAAAATAGTTTTTTGTGGCAAATAATTTTTTGTTGGGGCCAATTTTTTTAATTTAAGTTTAGTGGTATTAACTAAATTAATTAAAATTTTGATTGGGGCAAGCGTCCCATTGCTAATGAGGTGGCTTCATATTATTCTCCTTTCATCAACACCCCATCACTTTCCCCTACCCTCACTAACTATCCCCCTTGTCACATAAGCTATTTTCCTCTATATATTCCTCACCATTAGACCATTTGGTGTGGGTCACGTCATCACGCTCATCACGTCATCCTACTTAGCGTCATGCCATTTTTTCTCTTTCCTTTTACAGCCCATCAGACCATAGGGGTGTGGATCACGCCCAATTATTTTTAATTTTTTTAAAACATATATTTAAATAAAAATAACTTAAAATAAAAATATTAAATAAATGTTTATTAAAATTCCAATTAAAAATTACATTGACACAATAGTGAGGTGGCGCCAGGTGGCCATCATGGCGCACCACCCCACACCGTTTGGTCTTAGTGATATTCTTAAAGGTTGATGTGGCACTAGGTGGCCATCACGGTGCACCACAGCCACCCCACACTGGTTGGTCTTAGTGATATTCTTAAAGGTTAAAAACAAATTGTAACCGTTTGGCCACACACACATACACAGACAAACAAATCTTATCGGGTTTGGTCAGTTTCGGTTTTGATTAGTTCTGACCTAATCAACTCTATTTTAATGGATTTCAAATCTAATTCAAATTTGAATATATTCAATTTGATTTCGGTTGTAAATTGAATCATTTTAATTTTTAAGGATGTTCTTGGTGAGCAAAAGAGAATGATTTTGATATCTCACATCAAAATCTTTTTTTATTGTTTGATAAATCTCAAAAAGATTTCAAGTTTGATATTTCCAAATATCATAAATTCTTAAATGGAGAGTTTTGATATCTCATGAATTTGGGAGATATCAATATGAAGCTTTGATATCTCTCTCAATCGTTAACCATTCCCCGTCACTGCTATCATTATTACCACCATAGTGGCGCCAACTACCCCTCTTGCTGGTCACCATCGTCCATTACGAATTAAATCATACTACCTCTGTCCCATTGTCTTTGTCCACTTTTGACTTTTGGAACTGTTCATCTAAGCACTTTGACTCATGAAATTCTCTTAATGTGTAAGCCTAAAAATAGTCATGTGTGATCTTGTTTGATTCGTCTTAACATATAGATTATTAAAATATAATTTGTATAATTTTTTAATATACAAATTATAAGATAAAATGGATTAAAGAAGTGCATTGGATGGTGTGCTAAAAAGTAAGTGGACAAAGACAGTGGGACAGAGGGAGTAATTTTAATCTCTTAAAACAACTTCATTCCAAATTTTTAAATCAATATCATTTCTCTTATATTTTAAACTCTACCTTATTATATCTCAAAAACTTTTCAAACAGGCCTTCATTATAAATCAAACTTTCAGTTTTCAATTTATTTCGGATTTGATTTGGATTCGAATAATGGATTGGAGGTGTGTTTTGTGGAGGGCCTTGTTTGAAATCAACGTTTTCAATTAGTATTAATATTTTGGATAAAAACTTTAACAATATAAGTTAATTCTAAACATGCTTACACTAGAAGCTACCGCTTGATAACTTTTTCAAAATGGTAATACTAACATGTAAGGCTAATGACAAACGGGACAGCGGGTACCATAACACAACCAGTGTTTTCCGTAGGGGTGGACACGGTACCGGTATAGTACCGGTACCGGAAACGGTACCGCCGGTTCCGGTACCGTTACCGTCGGCCGGTACGGTCCACCGGTTCCGGGAACCGGTATCGGTACCGCCCAATCCGATACCAGTTCCGGTGCCCATTTTTCGGTACCGGCACCGGCGGTTCCGGTTCCGGTACCGTTACCGTTTTTTTTTATTTTTTTTTTTATTTCATTCTTTCCTTTATCAATTTCATTTTTAGATTTTTTTATTTCATCATTTCCTTTAACAATTACACATTTACAATTTTACATTTTAAAAATATAATAAAAAAGCAAAAAAAAAAAAACAAAATTAGGGGTGGCCGAAACGGTACCGGAACCGGCGGTACCGGAACCGGTATCGGCCGGTCCGGTACCGGTACCAAGGGGTGGCGGTACCGGAACCGTCCCGGAACCGTACCGTGTCCACCCCTAGTTTTCCGTAATCTCCCTTCCCTTACCATACCATCTTTACTCCGCGGGCTCTTTATTTAATACGGACTAAAAAAAGAAAAACGAGATGTCGGTCACGGAGAACCGCAGATAGGCCATAATATTATTACTCTTTCACTATATCTGTCCCTTAGTGAACAATTTTTTTTTTATAATTCTCTCTTTCTTGTTTTGTTCTTCAATGGAGTTTTCAAGCCAAGGCCAAGCTATGGTGAGTTCTATACAATGAACCCTTCTTGAGAAAAAAGAAAAACCCAAACACGCTTAAGCGCGTCTACTGGTTTCACATTTATTCCTCTCTTATATTCCCCATCCCCACCTACCCCCACCCCACCCCCACCCCACCCCCTCTGTGATATTTTGCTCTCTTTATATCAGACTTTTCTAGTGTTTTACAGCTAATGTGTCCACATGTGTCATATGAGAGATTTATATGTGCAGATCCCTTCTTCAGCCAAACAAAGTTTCAGTTTTTTTCCCCCAAGACACAAAATAAATATCAATTCAAGGTAATTTCTTCTTGAGCTCTCTCTGTTTTGCTTACAAGTGCTTTTTTTCCCTTCAAGTTATCTTTTTTTTAAACACCTTATCATCAAGTCGAATTATGTGAAATTTCTGCTTTCTATGTTGCCCAAATGGAGCATTTCTTTATTTTTTCAGACATGCATGGATTGTTGTTTTCCTGTTGTTGAGTGTTTTTTTAATGATAAGGTTTTCACTTGTAAAAAATATTCCCAACCACATAGTTTCCATGTTATTATTGTGTTTGCCCAACAAATTGGATGAAGTGCAAAATACAGTGTAGCAGTATACAGTATTGTTTGTGATGATGATTTTCTTGAAGACAGATGGAGAAAACAGGGGACTTTTTTTCAAGAGTTTTGGGGGAAAAATGGCAATAGGAAAATCTCTGTTGTTTACTCCTTTTACAGAGAGATAATTGGATCTTGCTCATTTAGTTGACATGCAGTAATGGCCACAGAAATCAATTACCTCACCAACAACCCATACTCCCTCCATTCTTTTGTAACGGTTGCGACAATAGACTTGGGCCCAATTCAATCAAGTTAATTCAAAAGGTTGAGACCCAAGCTATTAAATAGAAGCACAATATAAGGCTGCATCGTTCAATTCATACTAAATGTTTCACCAACAATATCTCTTAAAATATATTAGGAAATAAAATTATACTGAATAATATTTTTGCGATACAAATATTATGGTATAATTTTTATCTTTTATTTCATTGTATATTTTTATATATAGTTTTAGTCAAACTTTTGACACGCAAATCAAACTAAACGTACTGGCTTCTCACCCATTTATTTTCGGATTGGTCTTTCGTGAGGAAGGGCGAGTGAGGATGGCTTGAAAAAATAGAGTATAGGTATTTTTGGTAATTCCGTTTAGGCTTTGTTTGGGAACTATAAATGTTTGTTAATGGTGAAGATTAAATTTGAAAATGCTAATGCTAAAAACTAACATTGAATAAAATTTTCAAAACATTGAAGTCGTCTCAAACAGAACCATATTTTTTTAAGGAAACTGAACCATAGTTTGTTTACTAACTACAGAGTATAGTTAGTGCACAATTAATTTTTGAAATTCCAAAATAGAAGAGCAGGCAATTTAATTTAGATGGATGGAGTAGTCAAATATTCCAGTCTCTCATTAATTATGTGTTCTATTAAAGCTCAGTACAATGTGTGAATTTGATGATCTTTGAACAGGAATGACATAATTGCATCATTTTCATGGTGTTTAAAGACAGGCTCTAATGGAAGACAAGCAACTAAATTTTAACCAGCCCCTTCTCTCAGTAAGGCGAACCGAGGCTTCCTCCTCGTTCACTGTTCCTCCACCATACAAATCAGAGCTCAAGTCGGGACCCGTCAGGGATCCCGGGGTTGTGCCCTTCCGCTGGGAACACAGCCCAGGAAGACCAAAACACCCTTCACCTTCTACTTCACAAGCCCATCCTATATCTGCACATGATCATAAAAAACCTCCCATTGTCCCAAAACTTCCCCCGGGCAGAACTTCAAATGCTGTTGTCGCGGCGAGTTTTAGCAGTTCAAATGGTAGTGTGGTGGAAGATGATGAAGAGGGGGAAGAAGAAGAAGAAGGGATAACTGAGTCATTGTCCGGTCAAGATGAGAGTTATGTAGATGCACTCGACACGATTTCAAGTACAAATGAATCTTTTTTCCTAAATTGCAGTGCTAATAGTGGCTTAAGCTTCGCGACAGACCCGCAAACTAGGGATTTCATGATTGACCGGTTTCTGCCAGCAGCCGTGTCAATGGCTTCAGAAATGCCTCAATGCACTCCCAAGAAGCAATCGCCAGTTGACGAATTACAACCAAGACATCATCTGATTTCCATGGCAAAGGCAGACAGGAGGAGGCCTCAACTGCGTTATGGACCAAGTTTTGCGCACCATTATTACCAATCTCATGATTATGCAGAAGAAAGATGTGATGATGACGATGAAGATGATGATGATGATGGTGGTGGATATTTGCCTTCTAAAGCATGTGGTTTAATACCCAGCTTTTGTTTGAAAGGTTCGTTTTTCCTTATGAATCCGGTACCGGGTATGAGAGGGAGGACTCGCGTACCCATGTCTCCAAACTCTAGTAGAATGCAGACCGGTTCCTCATCTGCTGCTTCTTGTAGTGGAACAGATAATGAGGTATCAACTTTTCTTTCTTTTCTAGAAGTAAATTTCACCAAACCCTCTGATATTGATCCCCAACCAAACAAGGCCTTAAAAAAAACATTGTCACTTATGTGCCCAAAGATGAAACATTGTCAAGAATGACTCTTTTAGCTCAATTGACAGAAAATAAGGCCCTGGCAAAATGGTTTTTTACCCTTCAATTCTAATGAAAGATGATGTTGTTCTATTTTAGCAGCGATCAACATCCGATGTAAGCGAGCGAAACTCAGTTGTTGGGCTTTTAACCGCGGAGCCTCACGAAAACAAAGATGAATTTCTGGATGAACTAAAAAAGAAATATACTCAAAAAATAGATGATCACAAGCTTGATGGCATCTTAGCTTGCCCTTATGAACCTCCACCTCAAATCCATGAGATGAAAACACAAGAAGATTCGAGATTTTGTGCAATGACAGAGAAAACCCTGCATGTAAATTCTGTGCAAGATTCAAAAGGAGAACACAGCACATTGGAAGATTCTCCTTTCATAGAAGCTAGCAACAGAAAAGAAGGTTTATTAAGCAAACCAAGTAAGGTTTATGGAAAAGCCCAATTGTTCAGAAGCCCCTACAGTGGAGTTAATGGAAGTTCCATTAAAGAAACACAGACAATGAAGTCGATAGATTTTCCGGTACCCCCACCTTTACCCATGTCTCCATCAGAATCATGGCTTTGTAGGACATTGCCCTCACTGTCCACAAAGCATTCATCACTACAACGGCCCTATATTTTTGGAAAAGGGGATCCTAGGAACCAGTCGTGTAAGGTCTCATCTGGCGATTCCAAATGGGAAACCATGGTTAAAACAACAAAGGGGCATCACCAGCATTGGTACTCTCAGGTATATACATTTTGCTTGTTATTGGTTCACTTCATCATCATCCCCTTAATCCCAGTTACATTTGTAGAGATTATTGACGTCGACGCGCAAAAACACCATTTTGACAAACTTTTAACCAGACATCATTGAGACTATCTTTTGTTCTTTTAAATTTACTGAACTAAATTTACTGGAAAGTAGTGAACTGAAGTGAAAAACAAGTTGAAAAGAACAAACTCATTAGTGGTAACTTTGGTTGGCTATTGGTTCTGTTATTACCCGGAGTAGTAATTATTTAAAAAGTTACCAAATGCTAATTGTTTGCTTTGCTAACAGGAGCTAATGGCGCTGGCACCTATTCCAGAAACTCAGTAGTGTTCTTCTTGTGATGTCCATTGGCTCTTCCATGTACTTCAATCCACCACTATAATGAATTTCAAAGTCAACAAATGTCAATAAATACGGAGTATATAAATAAATGAAGTTTTTTTTGGTACTTAAAAACATGTTACTATATAGTTTACTCTTTTCATACCAGGACAGTGGGGGTCATAATTGTGTATCCTCTTACATGCACCCATTTCCTGCCATGTAAAATGTAACTATGTACTGCTACATCGCCCCACCTCCTCACATGCAATCATGTTTATTTGCTACTATAATGTTGATTTCCAATTTACCTCTTCATATATATATATATATATATATATATATATATATATATATATATATATATATATATATATATATATATATATATATATATATATATAGACACACACACACCCTTCATCCCTAAATAGATTGCAAACTTCTTTATTTCAGCATCACTATAATTTTTGTTTGTTCGTGTGTTTTCACAAAATATTTGATATTCCGTAAAAAAAATTGTTCTATCAATTTTTGTTTTGTAGAACTTTTGACATAGTTCTTTAATATATAATTTTTTTTATTTTTATACTAGCTTTTAAATAAAGTAATTTCAAAAAGCACGTGATTTTGACTCGTAACTCCGTAGTCCATTCAGAGATGGAGGGAATATAATATAGGGATCACTCGGGTAGTGGTGGATTTAGGAATTGCAAAGACTAGGGGCGAGACCAGTATGGGGATTCGTGAAATTAGAATTTATTGATTTCCACTCAGTGAAGGTTTCAAATAACTACTAAAAAATCTCAAAAATACTTCTTATAATTTTACTTTCTCTTAAAAATAATTTCAAATTATATTCATTTTATTTCAAATACTAACCTTTTAATTTCTCTTCTTTCAAGGGTAGATATTTGACCAAATATTTTGAGTAAATTCTCAAAATGGTCCTTTTGAATAAGTTTTTCTCCCAAAGTAATCCTCAAAAAGGAAAATTACTAACGTGATCCTTTATAATTGAGATGTGTTTCCTAAATAGTTCTTTATAAAAAATGTCTATTAAACGACAGTTAAATCGATGGTATTTTTATATTCTTTATTATCTAAACTATGAACAAATCCTCAAAATGATTTTTTTTAAATTAAGTGGGAGGCTACTAGAAGAAGGGACCCACCCTCAATTGGCTGATGGACTTCATTTTGAAAAAAAATGTTTACTTAAAAGTTATCACTTTAGAAAAATTCCTAGGAGCATTTCAAGAACATACTTTAAGCCTAGATGGTAGAAAATATCAAAATACCTTTTAATTGACTGACATTTAATAGACATTTTAGGCAGATGACTATTTAGGAAATAAATCTAAATTGTAAAAGACCACGTTGACAATTGTTGTTTATTAGAAGCCTCCCACTTAATTTAAAAAAATATATTTTGAGGACTTATTTATAGTTTAGATAATAAAGAACATCAAAATATCTTTCTATTTAATAGGCATATTTGATAAAGGACTATTTAGGACATATCATCCATAAAGGACTACATTAGTAATTTTTTCTTATTGAGGATTACATTGGGAAAAATCCTTATTAGAAAAGAACATTTTGAGAATCTACTCAAAATATTTTGTCATATTTGGTGAAAAGGACTGTTTGTGGAATAGTTTTCAAAAATTGAGGACTCTTTATGAAATATCTTATAATTGGAGATTAAATATAGAAAACTACATATAATTGAGAACCATTTATACAATTTACTTTTTCTTAAATCACTTTTATAGGTATTCTCATACTTCAACTACACCATATCAAGTTTGCATCTCTATGTTTTACATTGACTTTACTCATCAGACGACTAAGAGCTTATTCTTTTCACCTGATTTGATCAATTGTGATCTGATCTGGTTATAATTGTATTTGAAAACTGTATATCTGATTTCATTTGATTCGAATAAGAATATGTAATAAGCAGACCTAATCAAAGTATGGGTGGGCACGGATCGGGACGGTCCGGATTTTAGGTTGTCCCACGTCTTGTCCTGTTATATATAAACAGTCCGTAACGGTTCGGATTACAATCTTATCCTGGTTTGTCCCATAAAATTTAGGATCGAAATAAACTGGTATGGATTCATGTCGTACTACTTTGTCCTAATCGCAAATATAAGAAGGGGAAGAGGGTGACATTTCATTCAAAAAAAGAAACATCTAGCCATCCAACGAAAAACAATGAGTGGAACGAATCCAAATAAATTTCAACTCTATGAAGTTAACTTAATTAAATAACTAATTAATTAAAGAATGAGTGTATTTGGATTTTGGACTAGAATTAGTATTATATATTAGTAGAGTAGATGAATTGGGACAAACGAGACTGATCGGTATAAATTTAAGTTGTCCCGCTCATGTCCCATTTGATATTGGGACGGAACGGGTTCCGGATAAAAAAAAAGTGTCACAATATATCGGTACAATTACAAAACGGATCTTGGATTTTTCGGAACGGTTCAACGGTAACGGATTTCACGCACACCCTTAAATCAAAGTATGGTCCGGAATGGGTTTTGAGTCGGACCGAGATGTTACATTATGAGAATTTTCTAAGCCCGAGCTTGGCGCGACCTGTGAAGCAGGCCTAACAATTAAAGCCCAAGTCTGACCCTCATGGGTACCCGCGGCTTTGGGCCGGACCGCTCTGTATGAGAAAAACTTCTAAAAAAATAAATAAATATTTTTAAAAAAATAAAATAATGTGTTAATTAATATATTTGATGTTTGATATAATAACTATAACGAGTATATCAAAGAACAACTAATATATAAAACATATTTTGTTTGACATTACCACTACGGAGTACAAAGTACTTTATATAAATATCATTATAAATGTGTGGTACAAAATAGATAATACAGAGCAATAAAGATGTATTTATTTTATTAAGTATATATATAGTTCACTATTTTCTTTATAGAAATATGTATTTGTGTATATAATAAATTGAAATAGTATTCTTATTATTATTATTAATGCTATTGTTATTATCATTTTATAATAATGATAATAATAATAACAACAACAATTTATTCAGGCTCGGCCGGCTCGTGGGCTAGAGCATAGAACCCAAGTGAGCAAGCTCGGCTCTAAAGTATCTGGGCCGCTATTTATAAAGTCCGAGTTTGGTTCATATCCAAAAATGTCAAGCCTACTATTTTTCCAGAGGGCTTTTGTGGGTGGGCCAGTCTTGCCAGGTAACTGGGCCTGCGATTAGGTCTAGTATTAAGGTAAGAATTAGTTGAGGAGAACAAACTCTAACTTTACTTAAAAGATTGAAGAAGCATAGGTCTGACAAAAAATGATTCGAATCATTTTTTATCCGAGACCCAATCTGAAAATACTAAGTTTTGAATAAAAATTTTGTTGTCCGAACCTGAAATGACCCGCTAAAAATAGGTCAAATAATCCGACCGAATCTGAAACCGACAGTCAATGTAAGTTTTTTTTTAAAAATCATATACTTTAATGTGAAGAATAATGATATAAAAATAAGATTGTAATTATATTTCTTTTCTTACTACTCATTTTAATGTATAAATTTATATTCTTCACTCAAAGTTTTAATCATATTGCATAATTATCTTATTTTTTAACAAGTTCTACATATTTAGTTTTTTTATTAGTAATCTTGACATTGGTTCTTAAAAATAAATTAAAAGTTTAAAAAATAAGTAAAGGTCATTTTCCAATCAAACTCCAACTTATCCAATCATGAACCCATCCTGACCAACTGATTTATACGCTCTAATCAATCATGTAGAACTCGTTTTCCATTTTCCATTTTTCAGAAAACTTTTCACAAATAGAAATCACTCCTAATACGACTAAAACATTGTGCTAATCTCTAAAATAGGAGTTCAAGCTTTTTAATCTCCCAACAAGGACCTCTCCCGCCACATTCTTTCTTTCTCTCTCAATTTTCCCCTCCTTTTCCTTTCCGCGTCACACTTTACCATGTACATTACAACTCTTTGTAATACTCATTAGTCATTATCACATTACATACTGTGACACTTTACATTACAATGGTTCGTAATATTCATCACCACATTGCATATTATGACACTATCATGATTTTTTTTAACTTCATATTAACCACTGAATATTTTTATTTTTATTTTGTTATGTAGGTAAAACCATCATGTCCATATGAGTTTGAAGTTATTGATTTACATTCGCGCTCTTATGTGGTAAACTTAAAGGATAAATATGCACATTTTGTGAATTCCAACTTGATCAATTTGTTTGCGTTCATGCAATGGTTGCTATTAGAAGGCGTCCGGGCTTATCTTGTTTTAATTTTATCTCCTTTCTACAAAATTGAGGCGTTAGTATGTACATATGCCGGTATAATCCACCCAATTGGCGATGTATCTTCATGGGATGTTCCTCAACAGAAGTTGTCAATAATTTGCAAACCACCACCTTGTGACAAACGCCCTCCAGGAAGACCTAAAAAGAGGCTCTACATGTCTATTGGAGAGGCTATCAGGGACAACGTCATGAGAAACAGAAGTGTTCACGCTGCAAATCGTGCGACCATAACAAGAAGTCATGTAGAAATTCTATTCCATCACTGGAAAATCCGAACACTATTTGATATCACTTTATGTAGCATTACATGACTTTTTTTAGTATGGTTCAATTGTGTTAAAATTTCTTGTACTAAGATTTAATGTACTTTTAAAATATCCTTCCATCTCGACACTTTTATGTCATAATTTCGTTTCATCTTAATAAGCTTTATCATTCAACGCTGTGCACAGTGTCACTGTAACGCCCTGCGACCCGGTCTATTAGAATTGATTAATTTAATTAATTAATTACTAACTCGGACCGGGGTTGGGAAAAATAAAATCCTTATAAAAATTATTTGATCACGTCATAATATTCGTATTAACTGTCTGATTCCAGAAATGCAAACGGATCTCAATTCGGACCCGTTCGGGGGGGAAAGCGCGTACCGTTCAGATCAGATTTTACACAAATGAATAGGAATTAGGGAGATAACTCCCCATTATCTTTCCCACGACACACACACACACATTAAACCCATTAAAACCACAATCAATTTCCCCTTTAATCTCCCATTCACTCACTCAATTTAAAACTCCCTTCCCATTCATTTCCTTAGCACATTGTAACCCCCAAACCATAACTCCCTCATTCTCTCTTCCTCTCCCTTTCCTTGTTCGGCCACACAACAGCTCATCAAGGGGAGAATTTCTGGCGAGTAGACGAGGAGATTGGACCGAAGGAAGTTCACGCGAGAAGCCGTCCGTTCGTTGTCCGTTCATTCATCTGTTACTGTTATCGTTAATCTCTGAGTTTAGAGGTGAGTACGTTGCCCTCTAACTTTAGAATTCGTAGTTCAATCATATCGTTATACTCATAGGATTACTCGGCTAAACATACGTTTGTTCGCATTATCATGGTAATTCGTTATCTAGACTCTTTGATTATAACCTTGTTAATATGAACGTTTGACAATCCATAATCTCATAGCTTATTCAGTGTGAAAAAAATAACGTTCATCCCGATAACTTCCGACGTAAAGACTATATCCAAACTGGCTAAACATGGAGCTGCGAGCCATGATAATCGATTTACAGAACTGGACAATCGATTACTAGGCTACACTGAACTTCTCGCTAGAATAAGAAGAGCGTGACAATCGATTATCACATATGCGATAATCGACTATCAGGCCCTGCGGATTCTCAAGTCTGGGCTGGTTTTACGGATAATCGATTATCACATAGCTATAATCGATTATTAGGTCTCTCAGAACTTGGGTGTCCTGAACTAAATACTTTGACAACCGATTGTCATGAAGTGATAATCGACTATCATGGCCCGCGGAACTTGGGAACAGAAACTGCACAACATGATAATCGATTATCAACAGTGGTTAATCGATTATCAGCCACTTCTGAACCCAGGTCCGCCATGTTGAACAAGTTGTGTCATATGCAATCAAATATATTCGTATGCGTTGAACATAACTTCATTCTCCACTCAATGCATTCATCACATCATGTATATCCTAGACGCATGTTTAGGATCATGGCATACTTTGTATACCACGGCAAGAGGTCAGGCCCAATGCGCCTCTTCCGCGGGCCCGTCCAGGAACTTGCGGGGTCCAACGGGTTTTCATCACGAAGGGCTTGTGTACGTACATGGTAGCTAGGCTTAGCTATCACCCACATTCTAGTCTCCATCAGGATGACTAAGGCGTTCCTCGGCTCATCTACCGCGTGGGGATGATCACCGAAGGAGAGGGGCGTCCCTGCGCAGTCTAACTCATGCATCATGAATTATTCGGCATTGCATTATTCTATATTTTGTAACAGTTATCATTATTCATTATCTTGTTTATCAATTTCGTATGTGGTATCTAGTACTTTAGTACAAGTGCGATTATGTTTATATCAATGTGAATGTACTATGCGTTCTACTGTTAGATTACCACTCAGCTTATGTTGAGCGTATAGCGTTGTTTCCCTTTGTTATACGGAGGTAGGCGAGAGGATCATGGAGCCTGACCCGAACGATTGGGTGATTGGGGCGGCGGATGAACAACAGTGGGGACTCGTTTAATTATCCATTAAATTATGAACACGTTTTGGGCTTGAACCCACCGTTGTTGCACTTATGTTATTAATGACTTAACGGTTTTATTTACATTCACTTCCACTATAAACGTTTCCTTAAATTGAATTTATTTCCATCATTAAATATTATTTATATCAAGGGATTTCTGTTACAAGCAATGCAAGGCTTTTCCTTGTAGACGACATTAAAACCGTCTACGTAACCTCTCCGGCTCATTGGGCCGCAGAGAACCGGGTTTTTGGGACTTTGCGAACCCAGGTGCGCGGTATCAGAGCTTAGTTCACTTAGTGGGGAAGATCTATGGGTTTTAAAAAAATAGGATGCAACGAGGACGTTGCATTCCTAAGTTGGGGTGAATGTAATACCCCATATCAAGATGGGAATGAGAAGAGCTCAAAAGGATTGATAGTACTACTCATACCAACAAGGTGCATCTTCTTTTCGAGAGCTCATTACCTAGAAACTCCAAAGTTAAGCGTGCTTGACCTGGAGTAATTCTAGGATGGGTGACTCCCTGGGAAGTAGGTGTTTTGATGCACAAGATTTAAGATGCAATGTCTTTGAGTCCTTTTGACTCCTCTCTTCTTGAATTATACACTCATATCGTCTTCCCTTCAATCTCTAATACTAGCAAAATCTAATATTTACCAGTATTCAAGGGTATGTACACAAAATCTGCATCTGTCCACTTAATTACACACCTTTTTACTTTACGCAATATCTCACTTAACACGCTTTTAACTCTATGAATCGTGTCGTTCACAGTACCATAACACTTTAGTCTCCCATCCTTATGAACAAACTTCATTTGGACCTGTACATTACATGCCACATGTCCAGAAGACAAGTACTTAGACCATATGATAGAACATTCAAAGCTGAAAACACAAATTTTCACAGAATGAATTCCACATGTCCACAATACAAGTACTTGGACCATATAACACTACAATCAAAGACTTGATTTTGAAACACAAATTTTCTTTGTAATTTAATGCACATGACCACTTGACCACAAGAGCTCTAACCACATGACCACTATAAATTTTTACCGTATGGAGTATGAAAACCACTTTCACAATGTCGCAATTTGATTTTATGGTTACAAATATGTGTTAACAACTTCATCTAAAATACAAAATACAACTTTTGATTTCCAAATGCATGTTAAATCTTACTCAAACTTTTCTTCTTATGACAGATCTTATCCAAAATTAATCTAGAAATTGAAGCATTTGTAATATTTTTCGAGTGCATTTTGAGTCAACAACACATACCTTTTTCTTCTTCGATTCTGTCAATGTCTTCGGCCTCCTGTCTTCAAAATCATTGTCCGCCATTTTCCTTACAATCTTCTTCTGTTGGTGTTTTATCTGACCATAATCTTATTTGTCTTCGATTTTTGTGTGTGTTTTATTGTAAATCTCCCTTTTCATAATCTTAGCACGATTAATGAGGACACGTTACTGATTACTCCTTCCATCCACAAATAAAGTTCTCATTGCGCGTTACGATGTTTGACTGAAATTATTTTTAAATCATTTTAAATGAAATATGGTATGGAATAAAAAAATAAAAATTACATATTTAAAAACTGCATGAAAAGATCTACAGAATCGAAGTGACATGACTATGTTATTTTATCAAATAAGACACAAAAATAGGCCAACAAAGTGAATAAAGTTTGACCCTATGAATATTAAACGAGAACTTTATTGTTGGACGGAAAGAATATTTGGGAAATTTATGTTTTGGACTCTTATTTAACACCTTGGTTGACTCCAAAGTCAAAATCAACTTGTGGGGTGCAATTGAAGGGTGTGGGGGATGCGTTCGGGTCGGGACGGGGTGGGGGGGTTTACCGGGGGTTAGGGGGTAGGAACCGTCAATTTTACGAACGGGGCACCAGAGCGCCCCGGGTCATCCCATAACATTGGTTCCCAATGTCATAGGAACCTTCCTTATTTAAATATACTCGGTATTTGATACTCGTGTTTTAGTTGGTTTTTTCCCTTTGACAAACACATCTTAACGTGTAAAACCCTCGTCACCCTTAACCCCCCAGCTTGTGGAGCTTTTCACAGTTGGGAACAACACTCATCATCAATGGCGTCAATCGAGCTTCTCATCTCTCAAGCACGTCGCCACTGTTCTTCAAAATTCAGAAACCAGCTACCTCAATTTCTTCGTCATCATTTTCATAGGTCTCTCTGTTCTGCGCCCGAATCGCAGCCTCCGGACAACCCAATTCAAAGGCCAACGAATAGAACGCCGATCCAAATCCAACCCGTTTCCTACAAACCCAGAGATCCTCATGAATCCACTCTGTCCAGCGATTCTACTTCTCAGTCTAAAGAAAGAACTGTTCGGCCACAGCCCGTTTCTTATAATGCCAAAAGCCGGGATGAACTCAATGCTCCACAGGACGGGACCAAACCGGAAGCTCAGACGTGGACGCGAGAAGATCTACGGTACCTGAAGGATACGGTTGCTGTGTCTCCGGTTTCGTACCCAACCCGAGTTGCCCCTTTGCCTGAAGACCGGGCTGCTGCAGAGGGGGAGAGTTGTCGTCAGGAGGAGCTGAAGGGCGATGTAGAACTGGAGAGGGAGGCGAGGAGAATCGTGTATGAGAATAGATTCGTCCCTACGAGTGGGATTGGGTCACAAATGGTACCTTTTCCGACCTTGATTAAAGCTGATAAAGAAATGGCCAAAGTGAAGACTGTTTATGATCTCAAAGAGGCCATTCGTCTTGCAAAGGTCAGCCTTTTTTAGTGGTTTAGGTGTGAAGGCTTCATTTCCTTCTTTGTTTTCCATATGGATGTTTTTAGCTGCATTTAATTTCTGTTCAAGCTGCTCGAGGTAAATTGAAGTAGTAAAGTTTGTACTTTGTCATTTTAGTTTTAGAAGGGATAATATTCATTGTTTCATGAAACAAAAAGAGAGAGGCTAGGAAATGTTTGTCGCTATGTTTTTATTCATATACCTTCATGAATTTTTGAAGAAATGTAAATTCCTGCTTAGTGAGCTTCTGAAAGTTAGCAACTGATTCAGCCTGTTATATGCCTCCCTGTATTTCTGGTAATTATTCAGTCTAATGCAAAGAAGACATTTGATGAGACTTTGGAAGCACATGTTAAGTTGACTCCAGAGATGCGTCGAAGTGACCTGGTATTTTGCTTTCTTCCTCTTTCCCTCAAACCAAATCTTTCTTTTGTTAATATAATGTCATAGCACTAGATTGCTCAATAGTATTACACTATAATCTAAACGTGAAATGACATGTTGAAACAATCAAGTTATGATGCCTCAGTAAGGTTTCCAATTTTTTGTGACTGCAGAAACTTGATGGTGCTGTTCGACTTCCCCATGGTTGGGGAAAGGTACAGTATTCTAACACTCCCCAACTTTACATCTCTTGTTCTGTTGCCTCAGATTTTCTTCCAAATATCTCTAGCTGCTAAAAAAGGTGCCCGTCCTTAGAAATTCAGAGTGGCTGTCTTTGCTGAAGGAGTAGATGCAGATGAAGCCCGAGCTGCAGGAGCTGATATCGTTGGCGGTTTGGAGCTTATACAAAATATTAAAAATGGTACTTCGTTATTTTTATATGCCAAGCATTCTGATATTAGAGTATAAAATTTGTACTGGCATGATTGTGAGGGAACTCACTTGAAACTAAAACTGAGACCCTGTTTCATAATATCCAAAATAGAAGGTGCGGCTGATTATCTTGAAGTTGCTGACGTTGTGACTGAACTATTTAAAAATTTGTTTTAAATTAAATAATTTCAAGAAATGAATGTAGAGGTGTCAATTTTTCTCTCATTTCAATTGTGATGGATTCTAGGCCAAGGGAAAGGGAGTAGAGATAGAGTAGAGAGAGAGAGAGAGAGTATTGCAGCAGCGAAACTAGACTCTGATTATTCTGATCCCTGCTTCTCCGGGGTGGAGGCCGTCGGAGGGGGTATTTATACATTTCCAGGACCAGGCCCAAATTCGCTTGGTACCATGGTATGGCCTCGTGTCATAGCCCAAGGCACACTGCATATTAATTTGCCCGTTTTATACATTTTAGGGAAGCCTGCTCGAGACACAGAAGACCGAGAGAGAGAGAAGATAAGTTTAAGTCAAATCTTTTAAAACATTTTAAATTAGGCTTTCAAAATAATTGGGCTGCACTAAAAAATGGGGTTTTACAAAATTTTAAAGTGGCCAGAGGCGTCAAGGCGAGGTAAGGGGACGCCTAGGCGAGCGCCTGATCGCCTTAAGGTTTTCTAGGCGAGGCGAGCAGACAAGGTGTCCAAGTGACAGCGCCTTATCGCCTAGGCGACGCCTTACAAACTATGGTTCAAGCCCACACTCTATGGACCCGGTTGGCGAGCCCGATATTTCTATTACTATGTTCCAGTTGCACTTTTTTCTTTGGTAGCGATTCAGCCTTTGCAACCAATGTTAGTGTTTGAAAGAAAATCTAGTTGGTAAGGAGCATAAAGAACCTTACCAAATAGGCATTTAAATATGTGCTCAGGAAAATTTCTCTTGCTGTACTGACTGCCATTTAGATCCAGAAATCTTAATGAGAGTATGTAAATGTGATTGAGGCTCCATTTTATAAGACCATATTCTAATTCATGTATAATAAGGCTTCTTTGTACAGCATATGTTTTTCTTGTATTTTGCAGTTTTAAGGATGGTTGCATAGCCATTTAAATGTTGCACTAACTTTTGCATTTCTATTTTAATTCATGCAGGCAGTGTGAAGATTGATTTTGATAAGTGTTTGTCCACTCATGCAATGATGCCAAATCTGAAACAGGTTTTGGAAATCTTTCCACTTTTTTTTTAATAACCATTTTGTATGCTTTGAAAACAGAAACTTTATTCCAAATTTGCAACTTGTCACCAGTGGCAAATACAATGAGTCAATGACCATCTCCTTCAATACCAGTTACTGTTGAAAACATCCAAAACAGAAAACAGAACAAAGAATAAAAACTGGAGAAAAAAAGTGAACAATGCTAAATCTTCTGTTTTGTGATTGTTCTCTCATATGGCAGATTGCAAAGTATTTGAGGCAGTTGATGCCAGACACTAGAGTGAGTTGCTTTTCTCATGTTCTACATATCAATTAAGTTCTTTTTAGATTCTTTCTCATTTACTGATGCACTGTGCAGAAAGGCACCGTTACAAAAGATGTTTCAAATGCAGTGAAGGAAGCAAGAGATCAAGGTATTCTTTTCAAAAAAGACAAAACAGCCATCGTGCATGTTGGCCTTGGGAAGGTACACTGAATTCACAGCAATGATACGTATAGTCTTTCTCGTGCATGGATGCCTAAATGGTCCCGTTTATAGCTAACTTTCAACCAACAATTATCTTGCAGATGAGTTTTGCAGAAGAGGCTCTCTGTGAGAATGTTGGTGCATTTGTGAATGCCCTTTTGCTTGCAAAACCTGCTGGCTTGAAAAAAAGTAAGTGCTTTGTATTGTGTCTTTGTTACTCAAATTAAGCTTAAGTTTAGCGTGTTAGTTTGAGACAGTGTTTTATATACTTTTTTTCAATTTTCTCACTTGCAACGTCTTTGGTTGGAAAGATGGAAAATTCGTTGTTAAATGAATATATATTCCTTGAGAGAAGAATGGATGGGGATCAGAAATCATCCCAGAAGGAATTCAAATTGATTTGTTTAGTTGGTGAGAATAAAAATATCAGGACAACTTATTATGGCGTTTGGTTTGCTTTGGAATGATAATCAAAAAAGTTCTTTCGAGAGTAGAGACAAAAAAATCCTCATACTAAAAACATACTCCGTCCCATTATTTTAATCCTTATTTCATATTTGGGCCATCCTAGATTTTGACCCACTTTCCTTTTTAAGAAAAGAATCAGTGGTTCCTATTGATTCTTTCCTTTAAAAAATTTCAACCACTCAGTTTTCGCTTCATTAAAAAGCGTGCCAAGACAATCATGGAACTAATTTATGGACAGAGGGAGTAACAATTTATATTTATGTCAACTACCAATCTCTAGAAGGGCATGTTTCTCCTTATACATCTCTTTCTTCTTCCCTCACGATCCACAATAACCTATGGGGGAGGTGCATTGGGACGAATTATTCTTCAAGGGAAAAACCGTGACACCAACCGAAGAATGGAGGGTGTATGTTTATGGGCCCTGACTCCAGCCACTCAATGCTAGCAAAGGTCATTCTTATCTGTAACTAAATGTGAATTGTGCCAAACACATCTCTTGCCCCAAACACTTTTAGCTTTCTTTAAAAATGGTCATAAGCTTTTCATTTTTATTTGAATCTTGATTTAATCATCTGTTTTCAATAATGCAGGCTCAAAGTATGCAGGTTATGTGAACACGTTCCATATATGCAGCACTGTAAGTGATAGAGCTTTCTAAATTTTCCACTCTTTCCTCATTTCCTTTTAAAGAAAGAAATATGTGGCTCAGAGTATCTCTCTTACCTGGAGAGAAAACCAAACATCCTTAATGTTTCGATCGTTCATCACAAAATTTATGTTTAGTTAACAACAATTTTGCAGATGGGTCCCTCATTCCAGGTGTCGATACAATCATTATCCATAGCGGCGGATCGTCACGCTAGAATGCACATGCAATAATCCAATGGCGGCCTCTTCCCATTCTACTATGAACTGTTAGAGTTGATTTTGGTGTTGAAATCTCTATCGGTCCTTTACTTTTGTTGATTATTTTGATATGTGATTTACAAATTCATTTCATTATAGAGCTTTCACTGTGATTTAATTTTACAAACTATTTTTAGAATTTTGAATCTGTTATGGCTTCAGTGAATAATTTTTTACTTCGTCTTTCCCTAGCTTGCAGGCATACATAGTTAGAATTTGTGAGAGGTTAAATCTATTTTAACAATATTGTTTTACATGCATAGGCAACGGTTGTGCTAGAGAGACATCAAAGCATGATAGTGCTAGAGAGACATCAAAGCATGATACAAACACACGGACTGATTGTAAGGGTTTGTCCACACACAAACCTTTACAATTTGTGTGTGTAATGCTTGTGATCAAAATGATGTCAGCCGTTTGGTGTCTCTAGCATTTTTGCTCAAACAATGACTGAGTTTGTCATTCACATAATGACTCTTTCTATATGCTTGTAAAACAATAAAGCATATGGTGTCAAACTTTGGTGAGAAATTTGATATGACTGTAGTTTGATCTATTATTTTTATTACTCCCTCCGTCCACAAATAAACTTCCCGTTCACTATTCACAGGGTCAAACTTTATTTACTTTGTTGGCCTATTTTCGTCACTCATTTGAAAAAATAATATATTCATGTTATTTTTAGTTTTGTAGATCTTTTGATATAATTTTTTAATATGTAATTTTTATTTTTAAATTTTACACCATTTTTCATATAAAATGATTTGAAAATAACTTGAGTCAAATATCGAAACACGCAACGAGAAGTTTATTTGTGGACGGAAAGAGTACTAAATTGATATCTCCACCTGTTTTTTTTTTACAAATACACGACTCTTGAATTTTATACACAGGTTGACCCGCCCATTTCGCTCAGGGGTCTTTACCTAGGTCTAGGCTGTGTGCTCGAGCTCCAACTCATGGGTGTAAGTGTACATTGGGCCTATTGTCTATTATTACATTATAATTCTTAACCCAGCCCAATACCACCATCACAAGTCTAGTTTTTATGTATGTAAAAAAATTGCAATAATTTAGAAATCAAGAAGGAACAAATTTAAGACCATCTTCCTCATTTGGAAGAACTTTATCTTCTAAAATTTCTTACTATTGAGTATTGCCTATGCGAGAATCTCCTGTATTTCCTTTGCATTCTTCGACTCCTTCATTTCACCAAGCAATAAATGCCTAAAATTGAAATGGACACTTGGGAGCCACTCAAGTCCTATATCTTTTTACAGTTGAGCTTTAAGAGATGCAACTGTGTTTAGGGCCATCTAGCTAGGTTCGCCGTTCTAGTACACAGAACTTGATTGTGAATCCGGTCCTTTAACACAAATATTGACAAAAAGGATCTGTCTTTGGAAAGCCAACTTCTAAGAGTAAGACCCTCGCTCTGACGATGAGGATGAAGATTGAAAAGATACAAGCCTCTCACGTGGAGGAGGTCCATTATAAAGAAAACAAGGCCCCGGGACTCTAGCCAGAGGTCCTAGACCCTAGGACCAAGTTATCTACCATCACAGGTTCTTCAACCCCCCATTTTGCTGTTATTATTTAAATGGCTCAAGAACTGGACATTTGGATGGACTTTTTGAACTGCTCTCCATTAGAAAGTGCCTGGGAGACTCCATGAATGGTAACAAATGGTTTCCTTAGCCTTGTAATAATGTATTGCTTCCATTCTCTTACACATATTCTTTAGGGTGGGTCCGTACATAATGATCAGTATGCCCCTGTTGGACTGTGTTCCAAAGCCTAGACTCCCATGGGGATAAGTCAGAAGCATTGAAATGTAGAAGTTCCTTCCACTGCGACCTCTTCGCCTAGAGATCAACCTTTGGTGACCAGGAGAGTGGAGCCCTTAAGGATCATGTAATTGTTAAAGATTCCTAGGAGTCCTTCTTAGAAGGTGCAGTTGTCAATAGTCGATATTTCTATTTTCTTCAACAAACTTAAGGAGCAAAGCCCGCCGGTTCTGACACCGTGGGGTTATGGGATGAGGCTCTCGAACTAGTCCACCCCGGGAGACCTTGGGAAAAGTTAATGAAGATAATAAAGATGGGGAATCCTAGACTACATCTTCCTCTAGCTCTATGCCTCTCTAAAAGCCTCCCATCAGTTCAGATGCAACGATGTACATTACCGTTACCAAAAAACAGTAGGAGGGCAAGCCCTCGCTTATATGTGGGCACCTCCCAAAAGACTACATACTAATATATTTGTGTAACCTCAACAAACCTCCCCTCAAACCCAGACCACACAATGTTGTGACCTCCCCTTCAATGATTATTCATTTGATATGCACTCGCATAAGGTGCAGATCTTCGATCATTTTATCACACCGGGCACAGCAAAGATTGTGTACAACGCAGTCCATCACTCATGTCCACACGAACATGGGCTCCGATACCACCTGTTAGGATCGTGCGTACCGTCAACCCAAAACCGTATTAGTATAATATTGTCCGTTTTGGGTCAAGTCCTCACGGATTTATTTTTGACACCTCACAAAGGGCCTCATACTAATGAAGTTGGGTAACCATATTTATTTAGTTTATTCTTTTTCCCCACTTCTGCTGTGAGATGGAAGGGGGTGTATTCAATTAGGATTTTATAGGATTTTTTTAGATTTCAAAAAGTTGGTGGATTTGAGAAAATTGTAGAATTCATATAGAGTTTGGTTGATTTTTTGTAGAATCCATGTAGAGTTAGAAAAATTTGTAGAATCTATATAAAGTTTGAAAAATATATAGATTTTGCAACAGTAATGTTGCTCCTGCTCCACGCCAATCGGATCTGCAGCAGAAAAGCAGAACAGAACCCTGCTCCAAGACCTGCTTTGAAGAATTACAATTTGGAAGGCGGCAAACTCCGCCGCAAACACCCGGTATCCGAGGTGGAGGATCCCCGATCGACCGTCAGAGCTGCTCCGGCTGTTCGAGACGAGGTCAGAGGCACGGTCCACGACGAATCGGCTGTAGGCGGCGGCGAAGAGGAGGAGGAGGAGAACCGGAAGAGATGCCTTCAGTGGAGATTTGGCAGCCATGTTTTGCGCTTTTTGTGGATGACGATGATGATGATAGGGGAGTGGAGCGTCTTATTATGCCATGGATGGAAGTTTAGACCTGACAATAGGGTCAATCGGTTCGGTTCCGGTTTGGGTCTTTTTGGTTCGGGTTTCATTCGGATATATGTTATAATCGGTTCGGGTTGGTTCGGTTCGGGTCAGTTCGGTTCCGGGTTAATTTTGGTTTGACTGGTTTTCGGTTTCGGTTCGGGTTTGTATTGGATCGGGTTTGTATTGGATCGGGTTTATATCGGTTCGGGTTTGTATCAGTTCGGGTTTGTATAGGTTTGAGTTTACATCGATTCGGGTTTGCATCGATTTAGGTTTATATTAGTTCAAATATATATCAAATACTACGTATTTACTAATAAATCAATAATATCACATAATAAATTTAATCAATTCATGATATACTTCGTAGTTATTTTATTATTTAACACGGACGTACATAAAATTTAATCAATTTCGGGTCTAATCGGTTCCGGGTTTAATCGGGTTCGGGTTTTATCGGTTTGGGTTTAATCGGTTCGGGTTTAATCGGATTCGGATCGGAATCGGGTCGGAATACATTCGGTTCGGGTTCGGTTCGGATCATTTCGGGTGTTCGGGTCTATTTCGGTTCTTTAGTTTTCGGGTCAAATCGGGTTTGGTTCCGGGTTATTCGGTTTGGGTTATCGGATCCGGGTCAGTTTTGCCAGGTCTAGATGGAAGTAGAGCAGGGGAACGGACGCTGGATGTGAATGAAGTCCAAAGAAATCTAGGGTTGTGAAAAGAGATTTTCATGAGTGAAAATGTAAGCATTTTTTGAGAAAAAATCTAACAAAATCTAAGTTGAATACTTTAATATTTTTAAAGACTTTGGAAAATCACTATTGAATACCTCAAAAATTTTAAAGATTTTTGAAAATCCAAATTGAATATGCTCAGATTTTAAAAATCCAAAAAAATCCTACAGACTCCCAATTCAATGCACCCCGGAGTTTGCACCTCAACAACATAGTCTTTTGTCAAAGTATAATCTATGCGATCCATTATATCTAAAAAGTATTCTATAAAAACTCATGTGTGCACTATATGTAGGAAAACATGGTCTCTTATATTTGTAAAGTTGTCCTCCAAAAGAATTACACAGTATAATAGAAAAATTTCTTAATAGAGAATAAGACTATGCTAGGAAAAAAACATAGAAAATATATCAAAATATAAGTTTTAATTTTTTTTCTCATAATAGGAGTTACATTGCAAATAGAATTTTAATTATGTTGATAAGTGGTAGATCCACGAAGTTAGGTAGTAGAGGGCACTTCAAGAGAGTAAGAGGGCAGCGCTCAGAACTTTTATATAGACACTTTGAATTGAAACGATAATAAATTTAATCTCAAACAATTCCTCTCAACGTTTCAAAAGTATCGTCTCACTATAAAAAGTGGGTAAAATCCATCTCTTTTAAAACTATTTTGTTTACAAATTGATACATAAATAAAAATCACAAATTACATATTTAAAATTTCTTCAAAAAAAACAAAAAATTATCAAATGATTAGCGAAAGATACAAATAAACAAAAGTTATTGAGTGGTCTAACTGTAATTATAATTTTGGGAAGAACATAGTATTTAAATTGTAAATAAAAAGTTTTAAAAATAACAAGTTAAATTTTTGGACTATAAAGTCTACATTATAACTTAGTTTAATTTTTATTCTGTATATTTTGTTTCTCACACTTTCACTTTAGATTTTATTTTTGGGAAAAAGAGAAAAGTAAAAATAAAACATTGAAAATATATCAAAACTGGAGTTCCATATTTTACTTATAGAAATAAGAGTTAAAATGCATTTACATTACCAAGCATGACCATATATATTACCAAAAATGCCTATGTACAATGCCAGATTACCACAATGCAAACTCCTATTTACGAAATTAAAACATGAAACTTCTATTTTAGCGCTTTTCTGTGTTTTACTTTTATTTTGGGTCATTTCTTTTTATTTTTATCATTTTTAAATATTTCACTTAAAAATCTATTATTTTAATATACCAATTGGGTCTCTATTATTGCTTTAAGTTAAAGTCCCTATTATTTTTAGTTGGGGTCCTTAATTATATAACTCTTAAGAAAATGAATTAACTTAAAATCTAAAAGTAGTAGGGGGCAATGACCCCCAACTACATATGAATGGATCCGCCCATGATGTTGATATATAATACCAAAATGTATTGTTAAATATCCATATACCGTGTCACATTATCACAATGTAAACTCTTGTTTTGAGAATAAAAATATAGAAATCACTCATCCATAATAGGACTAAAACATTGTGTTTATCCCTAAGATAAGAATTTATGTTTTTTATTACCCAAATAGGACCACTCCCGCCACCTTTTTTCTTCCTCTGCCAATTTTACCCTCACTTTCTTATGGACATATGTGTTGAAATATTGGAATAATAATATTGTTCTTTGAATTATGAAGTACATGATAGAGTATATATAGAAAAGACTCCTAACACAACTAGGAATAGAGAATGGAAACTAACTAAAATACAACTTCTACCATAACTAGGAATACTTAATATTATTGTCTAACATCCCCCTCAAGATGAACTCTGGCTGAAGCAAGAGGAAGCTTGGACACTAGCCGGAAACTGAAAATTTTGAGAAGAGAGAAGTCTGACGTGTGCCGGTGGCTGCTGACGTCGTTGGAGAAGGGAGAAGTCTGACGTGCGCTGGTAGCTGCAGACGTCGTTGAAGAAGAGAGAAATTGATGTGCGCTTGTAGCTGCTAACGTCGAAGAAGAAGAGAGAAGGTTGATGTGCGCTTGTAGCTGCTGACGTCGAAGAAGAATAGAGAAAGCTACTTGAAATGCCTGTTTGACTGAAGATCTTTGACATTCTATGTCTTTTTCTTGGATCCGGGCAATGCCCTGTTTCCTTCCTGAAGGGGTGAGTTGTAGAGGTCTTCTTTCCTCTTTCACTACTTCCTCTCTTGGCTTTGCTTTTGTGCTGATTTACTTTAAATTTTTGTTGGTTGAACAGAAGAGAAAAAGAAGGGAGATTGATGATTAGAATGAGTGATTTGAGAGAGAAAAAAGTGGGTTAAGAATTGTGATGGAAAAAGAATTTGGGTCTTAGATTTTGTATATGGTGAATTAGAGAGAAACAACAATATTTTTTTTTCTTTTTTTGAGAAGATAGGATGATCTGAGAGAATTTGTGAGGAATTGGGGTTTTTTTTGAAGAACCATGGAGATGATAAGAGATAAGTTCCTCCTTTGATAGTTTTTTTGTGTGATTTCAACAAGGGTTTTTTTCTTCTTTTTTTTATTTGAGTGGAGAAGTTGATTTGAGGATAAAGAAGGAAAATAAAATAGAGCTAAGGTGAACAGGGTGGAGCCGCCGCCGTCGGAATTACTGGCGGCAGCGGCGGGAGCAAAGAACCCTTTTTTTAGGTCACCAAGAGCGGTGACTCTGATACCATGTTGAAATATTGGAATAATAATATTGCTCTTTGAATTATGAAGTACATGATAGAGTATATATAGAAAAGACTCCTAACACAACTAGGAATAGAGAATGGAAACTAACTAAAATACAACTTCTACCATAACTAGGAATACTTAATTTTATTGTCTAACAATATGAGATTTAGTTCTGTGAAAATTCAATTATGTGACATGTTGACATGCAGAAATGTGGTCAAGTACTTGTGGCCTTGTGGATATGTAGCGCGATTAATGAGGAAAAAATTGGGTGCGCGGCGCAGATGTCGAGGGGTATTTTGGGGATGCTGATGCAAAGTTACTTCTATTTAGGTACATTTTCTATGTTTTGGTCCTATTTAGGTTTTTTCCCATAATAATATGGAGCTTCTATTTTGTTACTTTCTTTATATTTTACTTCTATTTAGGACCTGTTCTTTAGAGCTTGAACTCTTAACTTTCAGTTCCTTCTAGTTCTTTCCAGTTTCTTCCCGTTTCTTCCAGTTTTTTCCAGTTCCTTCTAGTCTCTTCCAGTTTCTTCCAGTTTCTTCCAGTTTTTTCCAGTTTTTCTAATTTCTTCCAACTATATTTATTTTCTTCAAATTCTTTCTACTTTCTGACAAATCACTCTAAAAATATATATTATGATTATTATTACAACTTTTTTTAATTACAACTTTTATGTTCATAACTATAGTTTATAAATTATTTCATTTTTTCATCTCACTATTTTTATGATTCACATTCATTATTATTTTTTCTTCAAGTTTTTAATATGAATAATACCATTTTTTTGTATATTAATCTAAATGAAAAATTAGGAAACTATTTTAAAAATTATGGATAAATAGTTATATAGAATATTTTTTAATCTAAATTTATATAAGGTAAACATCAATATTTTAATCTAAAATATAAAATATGGAATGTGGTGGGGAGTAATACATTATGAAAACCAAGATAAAACTACATTTTGAAAAAGAAAAAATGACCCAAGAAGTGTAATATTTATGCTAATTTTATATTCTAATTATTTTTTGAAACTAGATTTTTATATATGAAAAATAATACTCGTAATATTTTTATCTTAAAGACAATAATTAAGATAACGTGATAACACCACCACCACCACCACCACCAACAACAACAACAATAATAATTTATAACAACAAGAATCGGATGAGAATAATATAAAACCACACATAAAAAAGTTTTAAAACTTCTTTTAGATTTTTCAATGTTTTCTAGTTTTTTCAATTTCTTTTAATTTTTTTCAGTTTTTCCAGTTCCTTCCAGTTTCTTCCAGATCCTTCTAGGTTTCTTCCGATTCGTTCCAGTTTCTTCCAGTTTTTTCCAACATCCAGCTCTTTTTTTAGTCCTAAAGAACAGGCCCTGAGAGCAATTTTTTTTAAATATAGAGGACCACAAAAAATAATTCAAAATGAAGGGCGATAATGTTTCGTTCCAAATATAAATATTGTATTATTTAGTACCCCTAAATATAGATCGACTCGTATCTAGAGCCACTCAAAAAGAGTGGTTACGGAAGTCACTTATCCAATTGGAACACCTACGGTGCTCCGTTCACAAAATTAATCCCCTCTAATATCCCGGTAAACCCTCCACTCGATCCGGACCCCAACTCATTGCCTAACCACATCAATTGCGGGGTGAAGTTTAGTTGATTTTGGAGTAAAAAATTCTGACTCCAGAATCAACTAAACTTACACCTCGCAATTGACGTGATTGGGGGATGAGTTGGAGTCGGGACCGGGTGGTGGATTTGGGGGGTAGGAACTATTAATTTTGAGAACAAAGCACTCTAGGTGTCCCAATTGAGCGAGTGACTTTCGTAACTACTTTTTTTGAGTGGCTCTAGAATCGAACCGAATATATATTACTCCCTCCGTCAATTTTTAATGTTCACACTTTCCTTTTTTATCCGTCCACAAATAAAGTTTCTATTTCCTTTTTTGGAAACCTTTTTATAGAAAAAAGACTTAATTACTCCTACCCATCCACCCTTTTTCCTTTCTTTTTGTTTTTCCTCTCGCCAGCCACTTCTCACTCACTCTTCTTTTTTTCTTTCTTTTTTCTCTCTTCTTCTTTCATTTTTTTCTTCTCCTTCTTTTCCTTCATTCTTCTTCTTCTTTCATTCTTTTTTTCTCCCTTTTGATTTTGTCCCACCGTTTTCCCTCGAATCTGGTAGCCTCTTTCTTCTTCTTCATCTTCTTCTCAATCTCTTTTCTTCTCCATTCCCATCTGATTTATTCCATCCACTAATTTTTTCTTCCTCTTCTTCTTCTTCATCTCCCCTGATACGATATCGTATCGGGATAGGGAAGGTTGAGCACATTCGAGCTATAGAATTGGGGAAAAGGAAGAGAAGAGAGAATCGCACCACACTTTGTTCGGCGGAATAGAAGAACGAGAGAGAAGAGGAAGAAGAAATTAGGGTTTAGGGAAAATGCTTTTTTATTGATTGAATAATTCTAAAGACGTACATCTCAATTTATAGAATGGAACTCTAGAACCCTAAGAGAGTCCAATCTCTAAAAGAAACTAAATAAAATAAGAAACTAATTTATAACCTAACAAAAATAATATTCTCTAATAATAATTAACTAACCATATATAATACCTTACCTATAATAATAATAATAATGATGATGATGATGATGATGATGATGATGATGATCCCGTAACACTCTCCCCGCCTTGAAAACCAACTTGTCCTCAAGTTGGAAATCTAGGAAAAACGAGGAATCATGCATTGTGAACGACATCCTCCGGGGCCAAAGACTTTTATGAATGGAGCATCAAAAGAATTGGTCAAGTTCAAAGTATTCACAACTCCAAGCAAACAACTCCACAGAACCAATAAGAAGAAAATCTTATAAGCACGTGTGACATCCCCAGAATCATAAAGGACAACAACATCACTTTCTGACGTCCCAAATGTTTTTGTGCATCCATAAAAAATGACACTATCTCTTGAATATTCTGCTTTGACAGTGTGGTCTCATTGATCGTCACCAAAAACATCAACAACAATATCAGCAACGGTAACAGGAACAACATCTATAGGATCAATAATAAGATCATTATCGGGAACACTAACAGGATCAATAAAAATTTCCTTTTCAAATTCCTGGTCGTGCAAGGTCGTTTTCTGCACAAGTACTGTAGGGGCCGAATCTCGTGGAGTGCTGATGAGTTTCCTTATAGAACGCATCATGGTTATTTTGAAAATGTATAACTCTATAGGAATCAGGCTCGGCATAATTGGGGGACCACGAACTGAATTCTGTATTGAACAAGAGGCCTCTATGGCGAACGCATATACCTCGGAATCATATTTTGGTTGACCTTCAATTTGACGGAATGTCTGAAGTTTCTTTATAATCTCATCCACGGAATCTTCAACTGTCCACACTCCTTCGTAAAATTCAATTTGTCCTCGTAGAACTTTATCAAGTAAACTCAGAACTTTGTCCAACAGTGAGTCCATTGCCAAAATAAACACCACCACACAAAAATATCATTAAAAAAATATAGTAATAAGACCTCAAATATTATTTTTTTCCCTGGGCCGAAGCAACCAAATTGAGGCTATTACCTCAAATCTTGTTCCTTGAATTGCTGCACAACGGCAGCAAGTTTGATGGCTGCACAACCCCCACTCTTTTTTTCAATTGGGTTGCGGCAAGCTCTCAAATCACGCTGCTGCCAATTTTTTTTCCCCACTTTTGCTTTTAAAATCCCAATGAAGCCTTGCTCTCACCTTGCGATGAATCACACCGCTTTGCGCCTCTACACTGATCTGTTTTCTTCTATTTCCCAACTTCTTCAAATTAGGATGCAGAGGACGGCTCTTTCATAATTTTTGATGTAAATCAGATCGATTGATCCGATCAGGAAGAGAAAAAAAAAGAATTTTGTTTTGTTTTTTTTTGTGATTTTTTGGCGAGTTCAAGCAATAAGAGCACCAATTGATACGATATCGTAGGGGTGGGTTCGATTTTGGCGGTTCGGTTTTCACCCAAAACCAAAGATAAAACGGAAGGTAAATTGGCGGTTCGGTTCGATTCGGTTTTGCATAAAAAATATGTAAACCGTTGGTTATTCGGTTCGGTTTTATACGGTTTTTATTTCGATTTTTTTTGGTTTTTTCGGTTTATAAAAGTAGAAATTTATAAGCATTAAAAATTGTAAAAACACTAACTTGATGAAACAATAACCTGTAGTGTTAGCTTTGGTTTTTTTGTTTGATTTTTACATAAAAACAAATACCAAACGGAAGGTTATTGTTCCTTTAGGTTCAATTTTATATAAAAAATATGTGTTTAGTGCCCAACAAACATTTAGAAGATTCCAAATACTTCCAAAGACATCATATGTAAAATCAATTACGAAAAATTTATGTTTTTTGGTATAATACTTTCATTTTCATTATAACATCAAAGTATTTTTTATGTAAATTACTCGTATCAATTTTTAATGTTAATATAATTCTATATTAGGATTAGCTATTAGTGTTCATATTCTTAGGTTTTTTTAATGTTTATAATAATATGGCTCGAATGTTTAATTAATAGTTAAGAAAATAATTTTAATCAACTAGTAATTTATTTGATATATATGTTTCAATAATTTTTCTACATATCACATATATTCATATAAATAAAGCGAAATATCTAAGAAAGTTCGTTTATTCGGTTCGGTTTTTCAAAGTGAAAACCAAAACGGAACCAAACACTAACGGTTCAGTTCGGTTTTTTTACATTCGGTTTCGGTTTTTTTGGTTCGGTTTTTTTTCTAGCTCGTTTCGATCGATTTTGGTTCGGTTTGCGGTTTTCGGTTTTCCCAACTCAGCCCTACGATATCGTATAGGGATAGGGAAGGTT